CCCAGAGAGCCAATACCCCTTAGTTAAGGAATATACCTTAAATTCCAGGGTCTAGGATTTAGGATTCAGGGTTTAGGGTTTAGGGTTTAGGGCCCTTAATGAAGGAATATACCTTAACTCAAAGCATTAAGGAACCTATAACTTAAGGTATCTTCGGTATAAAGGGGTATTGGGGGTTTTGGAAGCCCAGGGCTTGGGTTGGTTAGTCAAAATATTAAGGCCCCTAAAGTTCAAGGTGTATTCCTTATTTAAGGGTTTAGGGTTTAGGGTTTAGGGTTTAGGGTTTAGGGGTATTCCTTATTTAAGGGGTATTGGGCTCTTTCGGAAACCCTAAACCCGAAACCCTAAACCCCTAGACCCTAAACCCCTGAACCCCTAAACCCTAAACCCTTATGGTATATTCCTTATCTAAGGGGTATTGGGGCTCTCTTGGATGTAGACTCCCGAAGCCTCATGGCCGAGCACTTGACGCTTTTTCGCCCGGAAGCGAACCTCCAATACCTGGAGGATCACCCAGAGAGCCCAATACCCCTTAAATAAGGAACATACCTTAAATTATAAGGGCCTTAATATTATGATTTAAGGTATATTCCTTATTTAAGGGGTATTGGGCTCTTTGGGCATGGGACTTAGTAACTATAGGGTTATAAATAGGGTAACTATAATGATAACCCCAATTAGGGTACTTATAACCTCACTCCCAAAACCCTAAACCCTAAACCCTTACTTACTAAGGTACTTATAACCTTACTTACTAAGTCCCATGATCCTCCCAATACCCAGACCCAAGTTCCCAGGGCCATGCGGGCACAGCGTGCAGAGCTCCAGCAACGCCTTTGCGGCTTGCTCAAGGACATGCCCAGAGAGCCCAATACCACTTAAATAAGGAATATACCTTAAAAGGGATCTATAAGGGTTTAGGGTTTAGGAATGTGCCTTAAATTATAGGGGCCTTAATATTATGATTTAAGGTATATTCCTGAGTTAAGGGGTATTGGGCTCTCTGGGTGCTTCGACTGCTAGCATAGGAGCCTACATAATTACCACTACTGTTTTACTGGTTCTTCAGTATGGTTATAGTATAGTGGGACCCAAAACCCTATTCTAATTGTTAGGGCCCCTACATTATTTATATTGTGCTGATGCCTTCAACTCTGCCTCGAATTCGGGGTTGAAGCTCCGGATAGAGCAGTGGAGAGCAGCGATTCCAGTGCTAGGCGACTTTTGATGCCACTTTGGTGGTGGTTGTCACGACGACGGAAACCAATTTAATTCCTGTTGCCTCAGGCTTCAATCGGCCATGAACCACCCAAAAAGGCATCGAGGCTCCAATGAAATCTAGCATCTCGTAATCGGTGCAGGAGTTTTCTGCGCTGCGAGCTATGCAAGACTCTATGCGCCCGGGTTCGCACCTGGCCCAATGGAGTATTCCAGAAATCCGAGTCCCATGGATACTCGACCCTAAACCCTAAACCTTAAACCCTAAACCCTAAACCCCAAACCCTAAACCCTAAACCCTAAACCCTAAACCCTAAACCCTAAACCCTAAACCCTAAACCTTAAACCCTAAACCGAAAGCCCTGGTTCTTAATTGTTTTCCCGATTCTCTGTGGCGAAAGACGCCTTCGTAGAGTCTCACGGGGGAACCCAAAGAGCCCAATAAGGGTTTAGGGTTTAGGGTTTAGGGTTTAGGGTTTAGGGTTTAGGGTTTAGGGTTCAATACCCCTTAAAGAAGGAATAGACCCTTAAATTATAAGGGCCTTAATATGATGATTTAAGGTATATTCCTTATTTAAGGGGTATTGGGCTCTTTGAGTCTCGCGTGTGAAGGTCGGACACCACTCCCGGGCCGGCGCGCTGGCCGCCGAAGCGGAGTGAAGAGAGCAGAGGCGTGTTGCATAATATATAGGGTTTAGGGTTTAGGGTTTAGGGTTTAGGGTTTAGGGCCCCAAAAAAGCACATAAGCAAAAATTAGGATAGGGATATCCCATATAAACCCGCTTATAATGAAGCCCAACAAGCTTTTTGGGTTCCTAAATATAGGGGCCTTATAGTTACCCATGTTATTGGGGGGCGGGGGGTCCTTCATGGGACTTAGTAACTAGGGTTATAAATAAGGTAACTATAATCATAACCCCAATTAGGGTACTTATAACCTTATTTACTAAGTCCCATGATCCTCCAAGTGGGGGCCTTATAGTTACCTATATTATTTTGGGGGGGTCCTTCATATAATCAGAGTATAACGGGCCCCAAAACCCTATTGTAATTATTAAGGCTTCTACATTAGGATCTTCGAGGCTTCTGTCGGTTTAGATCTAAATTCCTACGAGCCTCAGGGAGAAGGATGAGTGGCGCTTGAAAGGCTGCACCCAGAGAGCCCAATACCCCTTAATTAAGGAATATGCCTTAATTCTCAGTATTAAGGCCCCTATAACTTAAGGTATATTCCTTATTTAAGGGGTATTGGGCTCTCTGGGCATACATCAGTAGATAACAGAATCGCAGTCTTGATCGGCGTAGCCCCAGGCGCGAAAAATGTGGCAGTCATGTCGCTGTAGCATCACGAAATCAGCCGCAAGATGCTCGATGCTTGCCGGAAGCTGCTACTGCAGTAGAATGGGACTTTAATAGAAATGCGCTTGGCATGAGGCATGTTGACATTGATGTTTGATCTTTGTGGAGCAGAGCAATCGTCACACGTCTCGCAATCGTCAGAGTTGGATGGTTAGCACGAGCCTTTTACCTCGAATAACCGGCCGAAGGTGCCCCGTGCAGCCCCCGCAAGCTCTTGCCGCCGCCGCGCCCGGTCGCTTGTCGATGCAAACGGGCGAATGTCTGTTTTTGCTTTGGAGTCGATGCTGAAGGTGCCTGATTTGGGTTCTTCTGGATGTTTTCTACCCTCATCAAGAGGTCGGCCGTTCCTTATTGAGTGCTTGCCGTTGAGTCTTCGCACAATAGCCTAGAGAGTTTTCTTAAAATTACCACTACCTTCGCGCCACCATGAGCAGCACCTTGCACAGCTGCAGCGACAGCAGGAGCAACAATAATCACGAAACTAGTGAGACAATTACAAAGACCAGCAAACACACAAGAACAATCCAACAAGAACAACTACTACTACAACTGCAGCAACGACAACAGCAGCAAAAGCAACAGCAACAACAGCAACAATCACCACCGCCACCACCACCACCACCACCACCACCACCACAACAACAACATCACCACCACCACCGCCACCCACCCCCACCGCCACAACTACAACAAGAAGAGCATCAATAACAGCAACAACAACAGCAGCAGCAGCAGCAGCAGCAGCTGCAGCAGCAACAACGGCAACAGCAACAGCACTCGCAACGGCAACGGCAACCACAACAGCAACGGCAACAGCAAGAGCAAGAGCAAAAACCCATGGCAACAGCAACAACAACAACAGCAAAAGCAAAATACTACAACAACAACGGCAAACGCAACAGCAACAGCAGCCGGACAAAGACAACGACAGCGACAACAACAATACCGCAGCAGCTGCAACTTCAGTGGTGACCGTAACAGCAAATGCTGCTTGCATTGCTTATAGGATTGCCACTGCTACTACCCCCTCGACTACTAACTTCGACCACAACTACTAAGCTACTACTACTACTACT